GTAAAGATAAATAAAACCGTTATTGTCCCTATTGCATAATTTCATCTTGATGAAATTGACTCTTTTTTTTTATCTGGAAATGTCCCCAGATTTGATTTTAGGAATCTGGTGAACTTAATTTAGTCGTCTCCTCCTGATCACACAGAGAAAAACAGAAACCGTATAAAAGAAGGTGCTTTTAAAATGCTGTGCTTTTTTTTTTTTTTAAGAGTTGAACTTTTAAAAATGATATCTGTGTATATAAATGAAATGGATGAAGATTCTGAATCTTCTTCATTTAAACGGAGGCTACCAATCCTGAATGGAGGTGCCACGTTCTGGTCTCATTGGGGCTCCTGTGGGTGGAGACTTCTGACTGTGGGTGCAATGCTTCAGTTTTTGATTCAGCATCTCACCCTGTTCATCTGGACAGACAAAGCTCTGATGGTTCCTGGAGTACCGGGGGGGAAAGGATGGTTTCTTTCTGCTACTGTGTGTTTAGACCAGGGGTGGCCCTGAGGTCTGGTATCCTGCAACTTTTACATGCATCTTTGGTTCAAAACACCTGAATCAAATAACTAGAAGATTGAGAGGACTCTGGAGGAGCTGACTGCATACTGAGGATGTTTCACCTCCACTCCTCCGCACGTCATTGTCCATGTACGTCTTCGCCGTCCGTCACCGTCAATAAACGGAGCTGAGCTATTTTTTTTGCTCTGGTCTGGCCAGGTCAAGATCCGCTATTGCAATCTCGCCAAACAGGAAGAAGAATGTGGAGAAGATCCGGTTTGTCAAATTAAAATATTGTAACAATGGATCGGTAACTACAAATTAGAAGATAATTCTTATAAATTCCCAATAACTAAAGCTGTTTAAATGATTGGATTCAAACTATTGGTCATTCAACATACCAGGAAGCAGGTTTCTCATCTCCATCAAAATATATATTTTATACAGAGAGCCTTAAAAGAAACCTCTTATTGCAGGAATGGATGAAGAGATGCTGAGTTTGGCAGTAAAGAACAAGGATAGTTCATAAAAAACTATTTTATATGATCCTAGTTATCCCTGTTACGAAAATCCACAACAAGAAGAAAATCTTTGGTCTGAAACCGCACATATGCTGGATGCTGATGGGGATTTTTTTTAATATGTCATAATAAATTAAGCGTTCATTTCCGCATGTTTTGCTCCTATGAATTTAATGATAATAAAGTAGCGCATGCTCTCCTCAAGCTCAGAGGAAGTCAGAGCAGAGCAGGACGGGAGGAACAGCGGAGGCTGCAGGCTTTCCTTTGCGGAGGCGGTCTGGAGCGGGTCAGACCAAAAGATGTGGGATTTCAGGGTTACTCAGACATTTGATTCCGGTGTGTTGGACCAAGAACAGATCTAAAAGTTGCAGGATACCTGCCCCCAGGAACTGGAATTGCCCACCCCTGGTGTATACCATTGTCCTGCTGGAGGGCCAAGCCACCTTCCATCTTCAATGCTCTCAGTGATGGAATGAGGTTGGGGCTTAAAACCTGGCCCTTTTTTATGCTTCCCTTCACGTGGAAAAATTATGTCGCCTTTGCAAAAACCTCAAAATCATTTTGAACCCACAGGCTGAGATCTTGGGGCCCCAGATGATTTCTTCACACCTGCTTCCTGTTGTAGATCCTCTCCTCCCAGCCTGGTGCAGGTTTACAGTTTTCTCCCTGGTTTCCTCAGCAGCTCGTTGGGCTTTGCCCTGGTTGAGTTTGGAGTCTGTATGAGGCAGGTATCTTTTATAGAGATGAGCAGTTCAAATGGGACACAGAGAACCAGAGGAGGAAGAAGAGCTTCTTAAAGAAAAAGTTACAATCTGTGAGAGACAAACATCTAACTAAATACTTATTTTTTCACTATAATTGACAAATAAACTTCTACAATGTGATTTCCTGCAGACTGGATGTTGGAGAGTGAGAGTCCAGAATGTGTCTGACATGTTAGCAGCTCCTTTGGGAAGCCCTGCTTTAGAAAGTTCTCAATAACGTCAGCAGCAGACGCCTAGAATGTCTCCTGCTGATGTCCTCTGCTGTGTGTTGCAGGAACGCTGTATGCAGCCTGTGAGCTGATGAAGAAGCAGCAGGCTGAGGTTCTGGGCTGCATGGTGGTCATCCAGCTCAAAGACCTGAATGGAGCCGACCGTCTGAAGCCACACGGCGTCTTCTCCCTTCTTCAGTACTGAGGAGCGCAGCGGGAGCTGGTGCGCCTCCCAGGCGCTGAAGCACAGAGCCTTAGAGATCAAATCAAAGTATTATGAGGACGTTTAAGATGGAGCTTCTGTCCGGCCCAACGTGGCCAGACAGATGGACACTGATTCACCCTGATTGATCATTGTCTGCAGCTGGAACCAGGAGTAAATAAACTCATCCATTTATTGGAGATCAGATCCTCCTTATCTGCCTGTTATGAATCCAGCAGCAGAAGGAAACATTTTATCTCTGCAATGAGGAACGACTTGATTTCAGTTCCTTCTCATTCAACATTACAGAGCAGTTCTGTATCATTTCAGCCCTGCAACAATTCATTGTTAAATAAATTCAGATTTTGTTTTAATCGATTAAACTTGTAATATTGTTTTTGTAGATCTAGTGGTGCTCCATCCACTTTGACCAAATCTCATTTTCTAAGTCTTAAAAAAATCTCTTCAAATTTGCCTTCAGCTTTCAGGTCCTGTGACTTGACATCAAACTAATGAACCGTTAAACTAAAGAGTGGTTTGAAACCATTTTTTTTTGTTTTTACGGCACTAGTGGCTCGTTTTTGGACCACAGGCTGGATTCGACACAGGGTCGGCCGCCTCGAGGACTAAGACCTCCGTACATGGGTCATGCACACTAACCACTGCACCACCTGCACGCCCTTGAATCAGTTTTTAATGCATACGTCATTAATCTTTCAAATGAACTTAGATTTATCTTATTCCAGTTATGTGCTGGTAGCACTCAGCTGAACCGACCATCTGCAGGATGCTCGTTAGCCAGCGAGTGTTTAATGGAGGAAAGGCCAGTTAGTCTGTTTATATAAAGACATCAATGTGGAAGAAAAACTAGTTGGATTTCTAGAATATTGAATTTGTTCCACTGATAGTTTCTAAAAGCCAATTTCTAATCAGGATTCCAGGTAAAGTTGATCCATTAAACCCAGAAATTCAGCAAATGAAAAACAGTAAAAAGGATTTTAATATAAAAACGATCCAATTAGAGCAAAGGCTGCTGAACCAACAGCCGTCTGCCACAGCGTCTTCATCTGCCGCTGGTTATTTAGAGTTCTGCACCAAACATCACTAAGTGTCAGATTTTAGCATTTGTTCACAGTAGAGTTGTAATGAACTCAAAACGAAAGAAAAATTAACAATTTTCAACAAGAGTTTCACCTTTTAATCAGAAAGAATTCATCTTTCTAATGTATAACAGTGTATGGAGAGAAATGTGCACCATTATTTTTAAAGCAAACAAAACATTTGAAACATGTTACAACCTTCAAGAACAGAAAGTTTTATTTGTAAAGTTACATTTAAATAAAACTTTTATACAGTTTGCCATTTTTTTCAGTATTTTTCTGCAAATATTTCCAGATTTAATTTTTTTTGTTGTTATAACAGACTTTATCTGGACGACTGTGTTTTATAAGATGTTATTTTCAGATCCTGATTTAACCTTCTACAGTCCTGTTATATTTTACATTTTTTTGCGTTTTGCCAATTTTATTCTTTTTAAATCCGTACAGATTTCCTTCTCTACACTTGTGGTTGGTCTTTGCATGAACCATTAGAAATGAGTCTGCTCTGCGTCGCCGTTAGCAACAGCATTTCTATTGGTCCGCACATAGACCACCCAGAATCTTATAATCTGGAAAAAGGTTAGAGAAAAAAAAAAAAAATTGGAAAATAAAATCTGAAAAAAATAGTAAACCTTAAAAATATTGGTTTAACATTTGCAAAAACATTACAGACTAATCTAACAATTGTTTTTAGTCTTGAGAAGTTTCCACAGGCTGTGGTGCCGCATCATCTGAACCAATCAGGCGAGAGGAAGTCCCCCAGAGCGCAGTCAGTGGAAAACAGCAAAACACGACTCCTTCAGTTGAGAAAAAAAAAATGACCAAAATCTGGTAAAAAATCTTTTCCAACACAGAACTGGAGGACCAGACGGTCATCCTCTCCTCACGTCCGCTCTGAACATGGAGGGAAGGTGTCAGAGCTTCTCCTCCTCTTTCAGTCTGCGGTTGAGTTTGTCCAGAACGATGCTGAGCTCCTCGCTTTTGTTCAGTTTCAGGTAGAAGTCCTTCCTGACCAGATGAACGCTCAGCCAATCAGGAGCCACCTCTGCCAGCAGACGGACGTGTTTCTCCATGTCTCCTTGGGTAGAAAAGAGAGGACAGTGAACGGTTCTGTTCCGGTCGCTAAACATCACATCATGGTGCATCTAAATACTGCAGCTAAGCTCTGAGCTGCGCTGAAGTATTCACACCCTTGGATCATTGTGACAGAGGCTCTAAAAATGGCTGACATTAGGGGTGTGAATACCGCGAGGCGGCTTGGAGCGCCTGCAGACTGAACTGACCTGGACTCAGAGCCGACCTGTAGCTGGCCACCATGCGGTTACACGCCACCTCCATGGTCAGCGCCGCTTTCTTCTCTGAAACAAAGACGTTTCGAAGGATGCGGGCCAGCTCCCCGAGCCGTGACATCATCAGCAGCCGCTCCTCCTGCGCCGGGTTCCGGGTCATAGCCGCCTGCAGCTTCTGGACCTCTTTCGCCCGAATCTGTTGGAAGGAAAGGAAACGGAAAGTAAAACCCAGAACCGAGGCTGCTGAACGCTCCGAGGCAGACGGTACCGACCCGGTCCAGCAGGCTCTGGGACACCCCCTTCAGGGCAGACGGGACCTGGGCTGGAGCAGAGGCTGGTGTTGCTGGAACCGTTGGGTTCTGGGTGCAGCCCGGTTTGGTACCTTCTCCATTCTTTTCTTCTGCTTTTCGGGCCACAGAAACCAGAGCCTTCTCCATCTGAGCACAAGAGAAAATCAGCGGTTCTGTTCAGAGCCAAGGGGCGGGAGGGGAGGAAGTTCCTGTCTATCTGAAACCATGGCACCGCACCTTAGGGGTGATGAGGGACCGGGCCTTCTCCAGAACCTCCTGAGCCGTCGACACCTTCTCTGAGCGAGGAGCCTGAGGCAGGGAGCTGGCTGTGATGGCGGCGACGGCGTCTACGTTAAAGCGAGGGTGCCAGCGGGTCAGTTTGTCCTCTGGAACTGAGACAGCCGGGACCAGAGAGGACAGGAAGACCTGCGGAGGAGATCCAGAACACATGAACCCTGAAGCTGAGGATGGATCCTAAAGAACTGAGACCAGATGGAGGCAGCTCACCTTGTGATGCTGTTTGACGATGGAGACCAGGTTCTGATGAAAGATCTGCCTTCTCTCCAGGAGACGGGCGGCGGATAGCGCGGGCCGCGCTTCGTTTTGGTCTGAGGACAAACGGAGAGATCAGCAGTTAGGACAGACGCCGTGGCGCACCTCACGGCTCAGGTATCCTCTGACATGGCAGCTGGCTTGGAGCTCGTCTGCCTGGCTGTGTGTTTCCTGGACTGAGCCGCCTTTAACAGCTGCTTTTTGCATCTCTGCTTCTGTCTCATGAACCCCAGTCGGCCTCAGCAGATGGCCGCTCACACTGAGCCTGGTTCTGCTGGAGGTTTCTTCCTGTTAAGAGGGAGTTTTTCCTCCCCACTTTCGCTACAAGCATGCTTAGTGTGAGGGATTGCTGAAGAGTCAATGAAATCAACTGGTTTTCCTTAGATAGAAAACTTTAATCAGTCTGACTGGATGATCTGGTGAACTGTAAAGTGCCTTGAGATGACGTGTTGTGAAATAAAGCTATAGAAATAAACTGAATTGAGGTAGTGGAACAGAACTGATCTGGTTTACGCACTGAGAAATCACACTTTGTTCCCCGTTCTAGTGAAAATTTAACAGATGAAAAAACACTGGTGCCAAACGTGTTTCCAGCTTGGCGCATTGGTCACCAAATATAAAGCCCTTTTTTCAGTGTCAAGAGACTTGGGCGACAAAAGCATTGAATTGTATTTTTCCTGAGTTATGCCCTTTCTGGTTGGAAGACTGCAAAAACGAACCATGAAATAATTTTAAACTGACAGTAAAAAGCTTTTGATCTACAGCCTACAAATTAGACGATGACATCATCTAGCGCAGAGGTCACAGTTGATGAAGCAGACTGATGAAGTTTTGTCAATCTCCATCTTGTCTTCTTTTTTTTTAATTAACCTTTTCTCCCTTTATTTGTATTTTCCACATAAATTATTCCCTAAATAAACCACAATAAAACTACATCCACAGATCAAGCAGAGCACTATAGTAAAATCTGCTGAGCTCTCTCTAGAATTAAGACAAAAAATCCCATTGCAACTTTACCAGAAGGGGGAAAAAGATGTTAATAAAAACTTAGAGGTCACTAAAGCTCGTTGAACTTTAGTGACCTCACTTTTTCTTTTAAATAAAACTAAACTGGTGTTAATCAGTTTGGCATTTCTTTAGCAAAAATAAGTTTATTTGCTTTTGTTTTAAGGTTATTAAACTCTGTTGAAAGGTCTAAAGAAGTAAGAAGCACATGTAGTAAAGAGGTTTCGTGAAGGAAGCCCAGTAGAACCGGAGCCTGAATGTTGCTGCTCCGTTTGGACTCACCGGAGCGGAGGAGCGGTTCCACCGTCAGCTGGTAGCTCCCCTTAGAGATGTTGCTGTTGAATGTGGGAACGTTCTTCTCCTGCTTGAATTCGTACGCTTCAGGGAACACAGTCTTTATCTGACCCACGTGGCTCTCCTCAAACCTCCTGGAATAAAAACAGACAAACCTTTAGTTGGGGGGGTTTAGTCACCATGTGAACCGGGCCGAACCGCCACCTACTTGTGCATCATGTCCTGAACGCCCTGCTTGATTTTGGTGAAGGTGGCCGTCTCAGAGCGGTTGTACAACATGGCGACCACCGTGTCCATGTTCCGGAACATCTCGGCCAGTATCTTGTAGTGGTAAGGCAGGGTCAGGCCGGGGGGCACGGCCTGTGCGAGGGTGTGGTACCGCTGGTATCCGGGTAGCCCGGTTCTGCTTAGAGAAACAAGGGAGGGTTTTAGTAGCGGGTCAGGAGCGCCGTGTCCGTTTGTCGACTGCAGGGACTCACCCTTCAGGAGTTTGGGTCTCGGTCGGCTTGGCCTCGTCTGCTCCTCTCTCCTCCTTCCTCCTCTGGGCTTTAGCTGCCAGCTCTTTGGCCCGGGCCATGGAGAACCGTAGGGCCTGCAGGTCTGTGCTGGGACTGGATGGAGCCGCATTGATGGAGGTGGTTGGAGATGATGAAGAGGAGGAGTGTGGAGCTGAAGACACAGGGCTGGGGGCGTCCTCGGCCCGTTTCCTGATCGTCTGAAGGCGGGACTTCAATGCGGTGAGGTCCTCCTGACCCAGAACCTGTTAGAGGAGAGGAAGAGGCCGTCAGCACAGAGGCATTCATAACCCCAGTTTCTGACAGGAAGAGTCCAGACAAGAAACCTCTGCAGGAAACTAAAGATAAGGGAGATGCTACTGAGTCGGCAGTAACGTTATTAACAGTTACTGTGACAGACCAACATGAAGCAGAAGCTATGCTGGACAGCTGTTTTTAATCCGCAGACATGCGCATCAATAAGTGTGAGGTTAGCATTAATCAAACTGTTCTGCCGTCCATCTTTGCTCCACCTCCTCCCACCACTTAGCAGCCCGTTGTTGTCAGTGTCACCACCTGATCCGTCCCGTAAGCGCAACCCGTCCTGCATATGCGCCATCAGCTCATCCATACATACATCCTGGTCGACCTTGATTTTATTTTGTCAAAACCTAAATTACGTTTTTTTCCTCC